TCTAACCAGGATGGGTCCTTGGGTGGTGTTAACGGTCAATGCACCCAGAGGCATCTTGAAAGACCTGGAGATCTACCTCCAAAAAACCCACTATTGAAAACCCTTTAGAGCACAGCTCTACTCTGACGCCTGGGGTCACCATAAATTGGAATCAACTCAACAGAAACGGTTTCTCCTGATCTTTCTAAAAAATAAAACAAACAAAAACAACACCTGATTCTTTTATTTTACATCCTTATGTAAAAATTCCACAAAGGATTTATGGTCATGCCAAATAAGATCAAGTTCTTTCACCTGTCACAAAAGGCTTCCCTTCACACCTGATTCCTATCACTTTCTTTCTCAAACAATCTGTTCTATAACCTAGACCAATTAAAGTTCCTGGATACATAAACTTGTTTTGTACCTGCCTTCGTATATTTTCCCCTCTATCTGAAATTCTTTCTCTTCTTGTCTAAGTGAAACTCATTTGTCAAGACTCAATTCAGGTATCTTCTCTTTAACACCTTTCCTTACCTCTAACAAGATACCAAATTGCAGCACAATGTAACAGGGCAGGGCTACAGAGAGTGGCAGTTGAAGGTTTAAGTCTTGAGGCCCTTGAAAGAGTCTGGCCCTTGAAGCAAAAAAAAAAAAAAAAAAAAAAAGGGAAGGGGGGGTATGTAAATCAACAGACACAAAAAGAAAAACTGAAAACAAATTATTGTTGTTGCTAAGTGCCATCAAGTCAGTACTGACTCATAGTGACCCTGTCTAGGGTTTCCAGGAAGCGGATGTGTATATTCTTGTCTGTTCTATGCAGGCTGAGGAGGCTCTCTGTACTATGTGTATATTAGGCATAGAATGAGCTGGCTGGTAACAACACCCACTGGAAGTGTTGGCTCCTAGTGAAATGAGAAAGGCGAGAATTGTAACGCAAACAATGTAGGATTAGCGCTGGTGGAGAAGAGAAGCTAGTTACAGGAGATAGGGAAATCGTTTTCCTGGACATATTAGTATTAAATAGATATTCTCAAAACAAATGATAGTTCTTTAAATTGAACTAATTTCACTTATGAAAAACATTTTTCTTATTTTGTTGTGAAACTGAAAACTTGGTATGGACCAGCATTTTGAAGCTGATAGTTTGATCTATCATGGTTAGGCCCTTTTTAACACTTGTTCTTTGTTCATAATTATGAGCTATGGAGCTGTTTATTTGGAGCACATGATTTGTTGCATGCTAAAGATGAGGCGTTCTGCTCCCGTAAAGATTTACAGCCTCAGAAACCCTATACAGGGTCGCTATGAGTCAGAACCGACTCCATGGCACACAGCTACCACCGCCAAGCTGATGATCTGTAAACCTTGATTCAATTAACAACAAAAAGTTAGAAAACAGAAAAAGCAAGAAAGCCCGTGGAACTATTCTATGAAGATATAGACACCCTCATAAGGAGGTGTTGTTAGGTGTATAGAATCGATGCCTTGGCAACCCTAAGACAGTCCTTCGCCATCTTCTCGGTAGTTACTGGGTTTGAACCTATTATTGCAGTTCATCTCACTGAGGGTCTTCCTCTTTTTCACAACCCTCCACTGCACTTCAGCATGATATCCCTTTCCAGGGATTGGTCCATCCTGATAACTTGTCCAGAGTAAGGGAGATGAAGTTTTAACCATCATCACTTCTGAGGAGCATTCTGGCTGCATATCATCTAATTTATTTCATTTTTGACAGCTTTAATTCACCTACTTCAAATTTACAATTCACAACCATTACTACAGTCTAATTTAGGTATTAGACTCCCTTGAGAAGCCATATGGAGTCCCAGTGTGGTGCTGTGGGCTAATGCGTCAGACTGCAAAGTCATTTGAATTGCAGGGTCGGTGGTTCAAGCTCACCAGCTGCTCCTTGGAAAGCCTATACAGGGTCGCTATGTGTCGGAACCGACTCAATGGCACTTAACAGCAATAGAAGCCACAAGGATCACTGGTCGCTCAGAGGTTACATATTTGGCTGCTAACCAAAAGTTCAGCAGTTTAAACCCACTAACTGCTCTGTGGGAGACAGAAGTACCAGTCATTGTCTTTAAAGATTGTTGCCATTGATTCAGTTCCACTCATATTGACCCTGTATAGGGTGTCCAAGGAGTGGCTGGTGAGCTTGAACCACCAACCTTGAGGTTCAAACCAACCTTGTGGTCCAGTGTTTACCCTACAGCACCACACCAGGACTCCAATGTATCTTATTGTTATTGTTAAGTGTCACTGAGTCAGTTCCCACTCACAGTGACCACTCATAGAACTTCCAAAGAGTGGCTGGTGGACTTGCACCACCAACCTTACCATACCAATGGTCAGTCCCTATTCCTTCCATTCACTGCTCCTAACCCCCAACGGTAAGCAACCACTTCCTATAAATTTGCCTATTCTGGATATTTCAGATAAATGGAGTGGTCTTTTGTGACTGGCCTTTCATTCAATATATTATTTTCAGAGTTCATTCACGTTGTATATGTATTTGAAATTCATTCCTTTGCATGACTGAATCCTATTCCATTCTATGGATATGCCACACTTTGCTTATCCATTCTCCAATCAATGGACATTTGAGTTGTCTTTTGTACATCGTGAATAATATTTATTAGTATTACTGTTGTCTTTTGTACATC